GCGTATAATTCATCCCGTCACGACACAGCGGGTTTTCGCCGTTCTACTTATTGTACGGAAGAGAGCCGACTTTACCACTGGACACAGTCATCTCAGCTCACACCTCGTCCACCAGTGAGTATGCTCGCGACGCGATTGCGCGAGCTGATCATGCCCGTCAGCTCGCTCGCGCTCAGCTGATGGCGTCACAAGCCAACCAATGCCGTCGGTACGATGCGGAACAACGGACGTACATTTCGCTCCCAGTACCCTCGTTTGACTCTGGTCTCCTCATCGTCAGCTGGGCCTATCAGAAAAACTTCTGTCTCATTACACGGGACCCTACCGTATATTGCGTCAAGTAACACCTGTCACCTACGAGATCAGTACCATCTATTCATCATCATCTACTATGCGGTCCAGTGATATTATAGACGTCTCGCGGATCAAGTCCTACAAAGATGCGTGAGATAGCGACCATTAAAGCACCGGGACGGTGTCTCCGCCGCCGGGGATCAAGCTACGTGCCAGTGCATGGAGTTGAAGAAGACAAAGCAGATAGATTGGCGTGAGCTATTCTGTGTGGCTGGCACTGCTCGCCTAACAGCCTGTAAATACATCGGTGACAAACCCTCTGTGTCAGTCTCCTTCTCGAGATTAAGATCTGGCAGTGCAACTGTAACTCACTTCAGAAACGCAACGCAGCACTAACGCAACTATTGCTAGCCTGTAAAAAAAAGCCGCATATAATATTGCTACAGGGATGTGGACAAAGCAAAACTGCTCAAAGCATTGGCATACAGGGGTACAGGGTAGCCAGGCCGACCCTGCACTCCGAGCAGAACCAGACGCGAGGAATGGCTACCTACATCCGGAAGGATATAATGTTCGCCAAAAAAGACGCCTCCGTATACGAAAAAGGCCTGGAAAAGGTCCTGGTGGAAATCTTACCACACAGGGCTGTTAAAAGAATCATCTTTGTGCTCAATGTTTACTGTCCTCCATCAGATAAGAAAAGAGATTTCAAAAGAGTGCTTACCTCGGCGGTAACAATAGCGGGTGACAATCCTCTCATAGTAGCGGGCGATTTTAACGCCAGGAGAACCGAATGGGGATACTCAAAAAGCGAAGGCAAGGCACCAAGTTAGCAGAAAGCGCGAATGCGCTGGACCTGCAGCTGATAAACAACCTTGCCCTCCCTTCAAGAAGAGGCAATTTGGTACAGCGGGACACAATGCCAGACTTAACCTTCACCAAGAACGTCAAAGCTACCTGGGATAACCTCGCCAAAGTCTAGGTAGCGACCACTGCATCCTGGAAATTACCGTTGATAACGAGGTGAAAGCACTAAGAAAATTCAAAATCACAGACTGGGACCAGGTCTGTAAAATACGGGAGCACAATGGCAATACAGAACTATCATATGAAGCCCTCTGAAATGAATTAAAAATGGCAGCGCATGAGGCCACCAAAGAAGTGGAGACTGATGAATTCATCCAGGTCACGGACTCTCACCTGGTCAGTTTACTGCAGAAAAAGCATGACCTAAAAGAAGCGTGGCGTAAAAACAAGCTCAACAGACACTTACGCACTAAAAACGCGGACCTTGGCCGCGAAATTGAATCTCACGTCAAAACGCTCTGCGCCCAGCAGTGAAACAACACATGCGACGAAGCGGATGTCAAAATGAGAAGAGAAAGCAAATGGGGGCTGCTCAAACACCTTATGGCGGACAGCGACAAACCCACCCGTGGCGGCACCCAGCTGCAAATTGAACGATTGGTGCACAAGCACGCCCAAGATAGTGGTGGATCCCAAGCTCTCCTCAAAACGCTAGGCCAAAAATATCTCCAACTGGAAAGCAAAGCAGCAGCCTGGGAAAACGAAAATCCCTCATATGGAGGTTGACCGCAAGAAAAGCTAAACGAACCATTCAGCGAAGCTGAAATACGGTATGCTCTACAGCCTCTCAATGGCAGATCGGCGCCAGGGCCAGATGGCATCGAGAATAAACTGCTACGGAATTTAGACGATAAAGCAAATGCTATCATTACTAAGAAGATAAATGAGACATGGGAAACGGGTACCGTGCCAGAAGAATGGCGTAGTGACAACGGTTCGCTCATCCAGAAACCTGGAAAACCGCTGAGCATCGATAAGTTAAGGCCCATATCGCGCTCGTCTTGCGTTGGAAAAGTAGCTGAGCATGCAATACTAAACCGTATCACGGACCACATTGAGAGCAATGGGCTCTTTCAACTCAACATTATTGGCTTCCACAGGGCACTATCCACACAGGACGCCATGTTGATGTTAAGAGAACACATATTTACGGGCTTCTCCACACGCCCCAAGCCATATTAACCCGAGACCTCACCAAAGCCTTTCACACCGTAAAACATGAATACATACTGGGCGAAATATCGCACATGAACCTAGGCGAGAAATTCTACAACTACATTAAAGGTTTTCTGGCGAACCGAACCGCCACGCATAGTAGAGCAATGCGTTGAAACTGAACGACTCGGAAATATCGACACCTCACAAGGGTCAGTGCTCTCGCCATTGATCTTTATTGTGGCGATGCACAGGTTGTCGGAGAAGCTCGCTCAAATCCCATCCGTGCACCATGCCTTAAACGTGGATGATATTACCATATGGGTCCCATGTGGCCACTCATATGGCGCCTTGGAAGGAATCCTTCAACAAGCACTGACTACAACTGAAGAATTTCTTAAGCCAACTGGACTCGCATTCTTCCCCACTAAATCTACTCTAACGCTCTTTCACCCTCGACGAAATTCGGGCGAAAAGAAGCAGCAAGTATTGCTCAAAGCTGAGAACAGCTAAACGATACCGCAAGTATATACGGTCAAGGCACTAGGACTAACGTTAAGCGCCAAGAAGGGTCACGACAAGAAAGCACTCAAGCGCCTGGAAGAACAGCATGAGCGATTTTGCAAGAGGCATTGCTAGAATCGCCAACAAGAGAGCAGGCCTCCTAGAAGACAACATCATGAAGGCGTATCACGCCTTTCTCGTAAGTCACGTAGCATACGCGTTCCCGTTTCTGAAACTTACGAAGGCTGAAATCAAAAAGGTCCACTCCATGCTCCGCAAGGGACTCAAAACGGCACTCGGCTTGACCAATAGCACGAGCAACGAGAAACTTGAGCAAATTGGTCTGCACAACACAGCCGAAGAAATTTTTGAGGCTCAGAGAGTGGCACAGATCACACGCCTCTTGTTGACGCAGGCAGGCCATCTCACCCTACGAGACGCAGGCATTTGCCCAATTTTTCAACCAGAGAAAAGAACACAACTTGGTAATGACGTGAGGAAACACATTAGGATTGAGCCGATCCCCCGCAACGTCCACCCTACGTTCAAAATAGGGCGAAGGAAGGACAGAGCGAGGGCGCTCATAAACAAGGCAAAAAAAAAAAACACAACAGGCACGTGCTATTCGTAGATGTCGCCCGCTTCTATGGCAGGGAGGCGTTTGCCATAGCGGTCGTTGATATAAACGGAAACCTCATAAACGCGGCAACAGTCCAAACAAGCCATGTCCACGAAGCAGAGGAAACGGCGATCGCGCTAGCCTTGCAAAGCTGCCAAGCCTACTCCACAAAATACACTGACTCTAAGTCGGTGGCACGAACATTCGCGGCTGGCCTAGTAGCAAGAAGTAGTGGAAAACTCATCGTTAACGCAATAAGAGTGTACGAGAGCAAAGAAACCCTTGTTAAAGAAGAGAAAGCTCAAATCTACGTATCCTGGCTCCCAGCCAACATGAAACAGTTACCGGGACTTGACCACTGCAATCCCAACGAAGAGGTCTACCGCCTGGCGCGTGAGCTCACACGCCGCGCCGCGGACAACGACCCCTCGATCAGTGAGCGGTACGAGAATCTCTGCAGCTAGGACAAAGCACTCACATACCACGAGGTCACTTCACATTACCGGGGCCAAAGACGTACCTTCCCCGCACCATACCCAAAACTTAACAGAGCACAAGCTCTAACTCTCAGAAGATTGCGAACACGTACGTACATAACACCAGCCACCTTACACAGAGTCGACGCCGACACACCACCCACATGCTCCCTTTGCAACCATGCCTATTGCAATTTCGAACACATGCTCTGGCTGTGCCTTACCCATAGCGCAGCACAGCTGAATACCCAAGAGGCGTGACAGGAAGCCCTCAAGAGCAATCAATACAATCTGCAACTACAGGCGGTCCAGAGGGCCCGGGACATCGCTACAAGCCTTCGGCTGCCAGCGCCATCCTGGGCGGAGCCTCCATGTTGAATTAAGGGTCGGAATGGCTCTTTCCTAGCCTCCTCAGATATGTTTAAATAAAGTCAATCTCTCTCTCTCTCGTAACAATATATATATATATATATATATATATATATATATATATATATATATATATATATATATATATATATATATATATATATATATATATGGTGATGAATAGAATGCGGACGAGAGTTTGAAATAATGTATGCGATTGTGACTTTTGTTACATAGATGAATATATACAAATACAGACAGCTTCCAGGTCGCATTTGATTGGTCTCGCGTGCCGTATCCATGCAAAATCATGAACTTCGTTGTATCATCCCGAGGCCATCGCCAATGTGTAACCTATTCGAAAAGACATTTCGAGGCGTTTAAGAGTAAGTCACTTCAAGAGTTTTGGCGATCCTTAATATAAATGTGGGTGGAAGTAGGTTTGATGTCCCATTAGGCAAGTGGTGTAGAGTTTGTAAGGGTGCGTGAGGTTGTCGGTGAAGTGTCTAATAAATTTGTGAAACAGTAAATTGACCTCGCCTAAGGCTGGTGTACTATCTCTGCATCAAATACATAATAATTGGGCCCACAAACGCTAATGTTTCTCTCGATTAGGCGTATCCTGGAGGGCATTTAAAAATCAACATACTTTGGGCAGGTAGCGTTCATATTTGTAAGTGTGCGATGATCTTAATAAGCTGCGTCGTGTACTACAGAGCACGAGTCGGTGGAAGAGGCTAGCGTGGTCGGTGTGCCCGACGAGAGGCTGGGCGAGGAACTGTGTGCCTGGGTGCGGCTGGCACCTGGAGCGCGGAACAAAATCACTGAGCAGCAGCTTCGTGAGCACTGTAAGCGCAAGGTGAGTACATAATTTTCACATTTGGCATTGTTGCAGAACTGACGTTCCGTACCATGAGCTGTGTGTTGTTCTCGTGTAGAAGTATGTATGATTCGTTCCAAAATCTATATTTTTCAGTGTACACGTCTGGTGGTGAACGTCGAGAGCATTGCTCTCACTGATGCCTTACTCACAGGTTTACATGACAATACCTCAAAACTCATCTGTCGTTAAAGTTAATCAAATCCATACTTCTCGCCTAGTGTTGTTCCACTTGTTTCTTGTTGATTACTCAATTCTCTGCACAAGGCTGAGCTATCCCAGGCACAACGTGATTTAGTAAGTACCAACAACCGCGTTGCATTTTACCATCGGTGTCTTAATAAGTCACCTATTATGATGCACTCAGATGAACTTAATCCCTAGCAGCAGCAGAAGCATCATCAATGTAAACAGCTGAGTGGGTTTGCGTGTTGCGCTACGCATAGTGGGTTAATTTGTAAAAGGAATAAACATGGCGTAGGGGTCACCTAACTATTATTACAAAATGCATTCAATGACTGTTTGAAACGGGCAATGTTACACAATGTCGTTCAATTGCTGACGACATGGTTTAGGCACCCTCTGAGAACCTAAGCAGAGCAGCAGTTTAAAAAGGTGATGCGCACGAGTCTTCAATAAGCTATCGTGATCTGCTCCTAAAGGCGAAGCTGAATCGTGCTCGAATTTTCGATAATAATTCCTGTGAGTGGCTGTCAATGCAAAATGAAATACTGAGTATCTATACATACATTTACGAGAACGAAAAGAGGGTCACTTATATATAGACACATACAGGGCGCTTCTGCGGTGAGCCTTTCGGGCTGCCAAATCACGGGCGATCGTGTGTAGCTATTAATGGCTGTGAGGCAATAGCGATAACGTCTGACTTGTGCAAAAAAGCCAATAGTGCCAATGTGGATATTTTGAAACCATTGCGATCACCGGGGGAGTGCCCTAAGGGGCCAAGTGACGTGAAGGGTAATTTTGGTGGGCTGACAAGTAATGCACGTGAATGCCAAGGAGCAGTAGTCCCGTTACGTTGACGACGAAACATAATGGTCACTCACTAGGCGTGGAGAAGTGCGGATGTCAGGATGACAGAGGTTGTGCAACTAGTAGTAAATGATCACTCGTAGCACAAAAAATGTGAGACACAGGACAAGGAATTTGACGAAGAGAAGTGCTTACTTTGAACAGGATTTATTTCGAAGAGCGTACACATATATACTCTCTAAATGCAAAACAAAACAAACGAAAAAGTCAATAAGCACAAGACTGTCATTCGCGAAAATCTTAATATCTCAGGAAGAGCAATTTTTTTCACAAAGCCCAAGAGTGGGAATGCTGACGCAGTTCAGCCATAATCTACAAATCGTCTCTACCTGAGTGCCTTTGTGGTTCATTTCTATTTTACAGAGAAACCTGTTATGAGAACGACACGGATCACGCGCAGCGTTGCAGTTGTCCGCCACCGTCCCCGCCCGTGTGTCCTAACCACTATCGCACACAATGACAAAAAAAGCTTCAATAGAAGTCACCAAGAACATGCGGTGACATAGTGAATTTTAAACCCGAGCCCAATGCGTGCCAACCCCGTATTCTACCACTCAGCTACACTGCTTCTCGGGAATCTTCCACAAACTTGCCTTAGGCAGGATTGATACCGGAAAAGGAAGAACGCTAACATGAGTAATAAAGCGTTGCAAAACAGGAGAGGAACAACGACGCGTCACACAATCTGAAATGCGTAGCGAGTAGGCCATCCAATCCTCCAAAACTTTACCAAATGTTTTTATTTATCACCCATTAAAAGGCCACTCACCAGGCCCCATAACAAATTTTACTTGGACCGTAGAAGTTGTGTGTCTGATGAGGACCAGTTTGTCAAATTTTTTCAATAAGTTCATAATGAGTTGACAACACGTTTTTTCGAAGCGGCGAGAAACGAGGATGAGAGGAGGCAAGCTCGAAAACCTTGCCGCTTCACTCGCGTAGGCTTCACAAGCCAATTTTGTTCCCTAGTCTCTCCACCATTTAACCAAGAAATCACGTGCGTATGACGTGCCAGAACAAGTCCAGCCCCCAGACACACGAGCGGCGTTTTTTTTGTTGTTGTTATTGTTGTGGACCAGCGTGGTGTACTGCCCGCTTCTGCGGGATTGCTTGGAAACGCTGACTTGAACCCGGTGGAATAGATGAGTACAATGAGTGCGCAAGCTTGTAGGAGCGTTATTTTTGCTTCCACGGCTATTGTCTGCTGGATGCACTGACCGCGGGGACACGAACGCATGTGAAACGCCGGTATATCAGCCCCGCATCTCGTTGCTACTCACAAGAAAAAAAAGAAAAAAAGACACGCAAATTCGCTTACTGCGTCTCCTTTTTTATCTACAGATTTATTTTATTATTTTCTTCAAGCTACAATTTGCATAAAACTAGGCATGTCATGTTAAATAATTTTCGCCATGTCACGTGCCACTGTTGGCAACGTCAGGGCAAAGTCGTCTACGAAGAGGACCAGCCTCACTGCACTTAGAGAAGTGTGGAAGTTTGGGCTAGTTGGTATGACATGGCAATGGTTATAGCGCGAGAACAGGACGACACAGAGACACAATGTCGTTGTTCTGTTCTCGCGCCATCACTATTGTCATGTCATACCAACTAGCCTAAGCTGCTGCACTTCGAAGGTACATTTCTAGCTAATCGGGCTCTTTTTCGTGTGTTTCTATTCATCATTCAGTCCTCATAACTCTCATTGCAGTCTCAATTTGCCATGCGCGCACCTTTATCTTCTGAATTCGCACCAAGCACCTGCCTCTGGACGTTAAAGCCTTGTTTGGAGATTGCCACCCCTCTATCGGCCATGACATACGGGTGTGCGAAATTATTCGGTCAGAATGGCACCGACAAGAGCGCACGTACCGTGACGCCCTGTATGTCCAGCTTCAACAAACAGATCTCACACCGGGAGTGAAGAAAAGAAAATGGCGGGAGCACTGCGACCAAATTGAACACAGTGCAAACAGCTTGTGGTCACGTGAGCTCACAACCTTCGTGCGCAGTGCCCAACCAAGCCCCGGCAATCGGGTGTGGTCCACTCCTGCAGTGATGTCGTCCTCTCAGACTACGTACACAACACCCTCACCCTAGGTCCGAAGTTCACCGTCGACCGAGAGAGGTCCGCACCCGAGCTTCTTTCAGTGGTGCGCTCTGTTGCTGGCCGTGCCTCACTAGTTAATAGCACTCGTGTCCTTCGTGTCCTTCTTGTCTCTTTGTCGTCGTTCTGTTCTCGCGCTATAACTATCGTCATGACACTGCACTTTCGTGTACGTAGAGCCATTCGTGCCTGCACGTCATGCCCTCATTCGTTTGGCGATCACCCACGAAAGGAAGGGGGAGCAGCGTTAATCTTTTTCCGTGGCATGCAGTGTTGCGAATTTGGCAGACGTGTTCGTGAACGCCCCGATCTACAAATTGCGCTGGTCAGCTCAAAATTGTCAAACCTTTTGAGTAGCTCAATCGCTATACCACATAGCCACTTATGCGTAGTTCTTCATTATAGTCAGCCACTCAAAGCAACACAAAATTCGTTACAAGTATTGGCGGATACCACACTTTTCTGAAGAATCACAAATGATAGCTCTGTGAATGGTGGCCTAATATGCAAAAAACTCCAGGCCTGCGTGGTAGGCGCAGCACAGTCACAGCGAAAGCTAGAAGAGTGGCCATTCAAAGCCTTTTCAAAACAGTCATTAGGTAACTAATGCAAGCACACTTGCTTGGTACCCACTCGGGCAATTATATTAAGCTTTTGGGTACTAGGCCCGCATTCGCTATGCTATTTTTTGTCATTCTTCTGAGAAGCGTGGTATCCGCTAAACACTTGCAAAGATTTTTTGCCAATTGTCCATGCAGTGGCTCACGACAATGAGGAATTAAGGCTAAAGTGGGCATGCGCCATACTTATTAGGGCAACAAAAACAATATTTTGAGATAGGTTGGAGGATTGGACGGCCCAATCGTTGCGCTATTTGCATTGTGCGACGACACGTTGTTCTTTCGCTGTTGTAAAACGCTTTAGAAGTCGTAATAACGTGATTGTTTTCCTGACGTCAAGCCTGCCTAAGCCAAGTTTGAAAACAACTCACAACTACCGGTGTAGCTCAGTGGTGGAATACTAGGCTGGCACCCAGAGGACCGCAGTTCGAGCCCCACTGTGCCATTGGGGCTAGGTCATGCCTGCCTAAGGCAAGTTTGACAACTTACAAGCACCGGCGTATTTAAGTGGTAGAATACTTGGCTGGTACCCAGCGGACCCGGGTTCATCTCCTACTGTGTTTTATGCGTGCAAGGTTTTTTTTTAAATTTTGCGCGAGGTGGTTGCGGACACCGGTGGCGGTGGCGGCGGCAGACAACTTGCAACTGCTCGTGACCTCAAAATTGATCTGATACGAACTTTCGCTGTAAACACGAATACTTGTAGCATAGTTGGTATAGAACAAGTGCGCTTCTAGCATTTACCCAAAAAGTTTTAAGAAAATCCTCTGCAGGGCTGCTCTTCAGGCTTTCACTGTGACTTTGCTGCGCCTTCCGCGCAGGCATGGCTTTTTTTGCAAATAATTAGGTGTCATAGAAAAGTGGTTCTCATTCGCACGTGTTGCAAGGGGTGCACGTCAGGTGTTGGCTACTTGGCTGTTTTGTTTGTTTTTCTGCACTTCGAGAGTATATACGTGTATGCTCCTCAAAAGAAATCTTGTTGGAAGTAAGCGCTCCTATTCGTTGTTTCTCTTGTCCTGTGTCCCATATTTTTCGCGCTATAAATGATGCGTTACGTTTTACCACCACACTCCACATCATACTCTTGGTAGAAAATATTGCGGCGATGTATGGAAGGGACATATGGCCTCACTTGAGTAGTTGGTATGTTATAGTAGACAGTGGGGTGAACTCTTAAGTGTGCTACGGCGCAGGAGGTGGCA